GGTCCAAGGGATTCTGAGATATGACTCCGGACGGACGCACGGACGCACAGACGCACAGACGGACAGACGGACGGAGACCGAATTATAAGTCCCCGTTTTCGGACTTCGTCCGAACGGGGACTAATAAACGTATTCATTGTGGTCATTATTTCAATGAAAATAAATGAAGTGATACTGATATATTATTACGGAAATTAGTAGTACTTAGTAATTTTGAGTCACAATATAAAAGGTCAATATTCTGGATGTAACTCAGCAACGATATAAGCTTTTTCACAGGAAATCAACAATTACACGACAGCATTGTATCGGAGCCCTACGACTCGAGCCAGCAAAAATGGCCATGTAAACGCGTTCGGCTCGAGCCAAGTTCGGCTCCAATAAACCCTCGGGGTTGAACTCCGATAGAGTTTAGCCCCGACATGGCCCGACTGTCACGGTGTATACGCAGGGCCCAACTATCGGAACCCAGATCACGCCCTCATTCGCCTTCATCAACTTGAAGTATCCTCTCATTTCAATTATGGTATAGACAACATCGTTCGTAACTTCACATTTTAGCTGTCGTGTTTCCTGTTTATTCGAGATACTATTAACTAAATCATAACACCAGTACATTGTCTTTTCTACCTCAATGCTCAGACTCGTTTGTAAGTGTTTCTTTTTTTTCTCCCAGATCACAGTCCCTCTATGGACATTTATAGACGCATGTAGTTGACTTTGAAGTCGAAGGCTCCAACGAAAGGTTTGACGTCGCCGGTCGATCAACGAAGTCATGACTACTAATTATAGGACAACAACAGGCGCTTCTTTCATCTCGAGAACAAAATCCCAGTCAATGTTGTCGTCTTCAAAATCAAAAACGAAATTAATGATATGCTCGCTAATCCGCAGGTGTGAATCGTTTATTTACCCGTGACACGCACTGTTTCAAAGAAATTCGGTCCGTTTCGAGACCGGTCTATAGAGGGACTGTGCCTAGATCAACATAATCGTGCTATGTAAAGTAACAACACAAGCTCGACACCAATATCGTTTTCAGCCATGTTTTCTTGTTCATACTAATTATTTCAGGGCACTGTTCCGTTAGGCGCTGACCGAACTGAATCGAACTATGACAGATCTCGGCTCTCGTTCGGCTCCCGACCGTACAAATCATGGATCATGGAAGTACATCCATGGCTAATCATAATTTCGCTATTACGTCATTTTACCACAATTCGCTAAAATAGCATGTCGCTTTTTCAACATGTTTTACTGTATTGGCTAGTGTCGAGAGAATTTTGGCTAGTGTTGGAAGAATATGAGCAAGTGTTGAAAGAATATTGACAAGTGTCGAGAGAGAGTTTAGTTTAGATGTTGATTATAAGGGGTTGGGTATCTAACAAAGTCATGTACATGAGTTATTTCTGGTTAATTTTACATATTTATTTATACAATACAAAATGTAATTTTTGTCAAAATTCACTAAACACTAGTAAACTACCTTTCATTTAAATAAGTAACGTATTCGGGTATTTTTTGTTGAAGTATCGGGATTATCTGCTGGATGGCAAGTATAATCTCCTGGGGTGGGTAACATGTATTAAATGGATAGATGGACAAGAAGTTTTTGTCGGCACGTCCCTTACTGTAGGGTTTATACTTCATGAATCTATGTGTATCGATCTCCGGCGGGAGTGTCATTGAAATCTCAAATTGATACGATTAGATCTGGATTCAGTACTTACTTATGTATATTCGTATCACGACAAATGTATTGCTATGCGTCGGACGCCCAAACTAATGGAGTAATATCTTTATTGGTCGGCGAGTACGTGTCCAGATTACCGATCTATTATTAACGTTCCTCTAGTCTCGGCGATTAGGAGATACAATGGAAGTTGTTGCAAGTGTTTGCTTAGTCTATCGGTATCGCAGTGGATTATATAGTCATTGTCGGGCGTTGGTCACCGTGGGGTTTGATTGGGGTTCGCGCGCGCGAATGTGTGTGTTTGTGTGCATATAGGTAGCTACCTCCATAGTGTGTGCATGGAGGGGGGGGGGGTAAAGTTATCGCGTGATTTGTCTGGAAAACTTTCCCATGCGATGTGCGATGCGTTAACAAACACTGACATGAAATTACACCGAATAGATGTATTCTCTGTGTGATATTGAACCCGTCTACAAATAAACAGAATTGAAATTCCAGTCAGTTACAAATTTTCAATCAATCTAACTATGTTTACTCAGTATAGTTACCACGAAAGGATAAATGTTAACTCTACGCACAGTCCCTCTACGGTGCATGGAGGGGCGAGATCTGCTCACCACCTCCTTAAAAATGTGAAAATCTAGACCCTCTGAAACGCTATTTCCTGCATTTTGAGGGGCAAATTTGGCTGACACAAAGGGTTTCAGCTTGATTTCAGGGGGCGACGCCCTCACCCCCAACATTTTTTTAAGGGGGCGATCGTCTCCTCCCTTGTGCCGCCGCCACTGTGTCTGTAAATCGAAATTGACCATCGCATTTTGTACGTTATTGTTTGGAAATTTCATAACTAGACAATAACGCTTTTTTGTTGAGGTTAGCGCTGTCAGCCATTTTGACTGCCTTTGACGTAACAGTTCGGAAAAATTGCTAAAACTCGGATTAAATTATATTTTATTACAACACATTGTTAAATTCATATTTATAGTTTACATTGTTATCATTTCTGTGGGTTAAATACTAGGTTGATGTAGAACATTTGCATTGTTTCAGAATGGCGATCGTAAGTCTGCGTCTGCTGGCGACGAAGATTTGTACCCCAAAAATGCATCTCTGAACGTTTCATAAGTTTATTTTGTACATTGAATTATAATCAGTGAGACTTTTATGAGAACAAAATGATGATAGTTTAAACAATTTTAGTCTCATTTCATCGCAGTTTGCAGACATTTTACTTCCAGTTAGCAATGTTTTATTCCTGACCACTGCCAGTTTAAGTTGTATGGTTTCATAGTGCAGTTTTAATCTGAATATATGAAATCGTCTTCGAACAAATGTAACTTTATGCAAATTACGATCGCTTCATCGTCGGCAGTATGCTAATGCCTTTGTTTTAAATGTTTACCGAGACACGCATCCTCACAAAAGAAGCGGAAGAGTTTTCTGCCCGTTTTTCTCGTAACTAGCGTTCCTTGGCCGGTACTAAATGTTCACACACGTTTTCTTAGCACGGGCTAACGTTTTTGACATCTTAGTCCGTGCATGGATGTACTAACACGTGATAGTACGTCAATGGTCCGTGCTAAGAAGCTGTGCGCGAACACAACTAATAGGTCTACCATAGACCCTCCAGGGTATATGTCTAAACTCGCAGTTAAACACTCATTAAAGCTATAAGCCTAATCTCTCAGTTAAACTTCAGACAACGAATTTATTAGTTGTCCGAGGCACAGTCCCAGGGACTGTGTCTGAGGTTAAACCAAGGAGGGACTGTGGTTAAACAGGCATCTATTCATACGTCCGAGTATGGTTAACCATACACCCAATGTTTTGTGCGTTGTATAGCGTCACAATGTGAAGGTGGTTCCCACTATTCACTGTGTCGGAAGAATGTGGCGGTGGTGTCCTGCTATTCAATGTGTTGTCCCGCCAATCACTGTGACGGCGGTGTTTCAGCATTGAATCTAGCGGTGGTGTCCCACCATTCGAAGTGCCGATGGTCTCCCGCCATTCAATGTAACGGTGTTGTCCCGCCAATCATTGTGACGGCGGTGTCTCACCATTGAATGTGTCGATGGTCTCCGGCACGAAATTTTACATGGAGGAGCAAGAGATGCTAACCAATCTCGCACCGAAGGCGCGACCTCACCGGGCGGTCCGGAGGCATGCTCCTCCTAACATTTTTTAAATCTAGACCCTCTGAAACGCTATTTCCTGCATTTTGATGGGCAAATTTTGCTAACACAAAAGGTTTCAGCTCGATTTTGGAGGAGCGACACCCCAACATTTTTTTGAGGGGGCAATCACCCCCTCAGCCCTAACCCCAACCCCGTGCCACCGCCACTGCGCCGTTCGGTGTGATGGTGGAGTCACGCCACTCCGATGTTGTAATCCATGGAATTTACCTCCATAACTTTACTTTGACATTATTTAATATAAATACTAGCATGTCCACTTAATATATAGTATTTATTATTATATGGTGGCGCGTACCTGTACACTGCAATAAAAATCTATGTCGATATACTAGTAACATATAAATCAAACATTGTAGGGGTATCATTTCTGTTCCGAGGGCATCTTTGACTGGACCAATTGCGTCCATGTGAGTTATCACGTGACATTTAACTGAATATTTTTTTATTAAATCAAATGCATTAAATACTCGTGTAGTAATAATGTGCATCCCACATTATAAAACCATAGACTAGAATTCAAACATGCGGACTAGTATTACAACGACGACGTCCCAAACCTAGGAATTACTAAGCAGCACATATTTGAATTAAAACATAAATAACAGCTTGGCGTTGTCATGTATATTTCACTCCGTAATAAAGTCGGTGCACACAAACTGATAAAACAGTACGTTCTCATGTGCTGTACAATAATATGTGGGATATTTTAGCGCGCGGTGTTTTCAATACACACTCGATTGGTAAATGTTTCACTAGTGTACAAGGTATTTCCCTTTCTTCCGTTATGACTTTGGCAAGAGTGTGTTACAACTGTTTAAATTTCAAAGGGTCGGAAAGGAGGCGCTAACGTCCAAAGTGAACGCTGGAGCCACGCAGAGGCAACATTAGCGAAAACCTGTCAAAATCTTTGAATAGAACGTAAAGTAATGTATTCATTCTGTTGCCGGCCCAGACGCCATATGGACAATTCTATTATGAAGTAGGGGTGTATAGGTCCATCCCCTTCATTGTCTCAGTATAATTATTCTCTTTCATTGGTATATTATCAGTTGACTCTGGGCAGCATCATAACAGGGTGTTTACTGTAAGGCAACCTTTGTGACGACAGTACCAACATGTGCAACTGTTTGCAGCCTTCTGTTGGTGGACTTTGAATGAACACAACTAGGAAAGAGATCGCCACGTCTTAATCGTTTTCGACACTTCATAGTTTTCGAGTTTGCTGAATAATGGATCATATTTGAATGCAACTCAACCAACATGTAGTGTTAGGGCGAATCAAAGAAGAGTCACCGATGGTGTCTTTACTTAATTTCAACTCATCATGTCTCTTCGATATTTTAGTCTTGTCACAATTTTCATATTGCCGACTGGTATGTCACAGCTCTCCGGTGAGTACACACTATCAATTTTCAGCTGTGGGATTCAATCCTCGATCGGCGCCCACGTTGTGTATTTTCACACCGACAGTTCAAGTGTTTGGATTGTTCTAGTCGGTGTGTCGTGTTTGTACACCATATCATGTTTGATCATTAATGGGCAACTTAAGTCGGTAACACCACAACGCATCGCATGCTGACTATTTGTGGCTTTATTGCGGGTTTTAGAATTGCTTCGATCTCTAAATCACTGATGTATTTCCTACCACAGGTGACCCGTTAAGCTGCGTCAATGAAGGTGAAAGGATTGAAATTCCAAGTATAACAGTCGATCCATGTATTTCGTGTTTTTGTAAAGTAAGTATTATCTACCTTTTTCCCATGTCTGTCAACATAGTCGATATAAACGCCCACCTTCAACTTGTCTGGAATTTTAGCAACTCGCGAACCAGCTCGTATATTCATGGTTATCAGAGCCAGGATTGTATCTGCGCGAATGGCAGTGAGAACGGTTCCGCCAGTCTGCATTTATTTGCCCCTGTGCACCTGCATGTATTTCCTCGGTACGCTAGGAATGCCCGGATGTTTTCTTTCATGTTGAAAGATTAACTTGTTACGAGTATCACAGGTGTACACTAGCCTACTTAACAGTGAGCAATCCTCGGAACTACTCCGCAGGGTCCATCAGATGCCCACGCTTTGACGGAAGATAGTGATAGTCATTGCTATTTCACCACTTTTTATGGCGTTGTTATAATGTTGTGATGGTGGACCTTTTTCAATAAATATCGTTGTCAATAACTTGGCCAGGGCCACACTAAGCACATTCTCCGTCGTTGTGTACCGTAGAACACATTTTATCCGACTATTATCCAAGGTGTTGAAATGCCATTACCCGTTGGTTACAGGAGTTTTTTGTGCTATAAAATAAATCGCTTATAGAACTCTATAACATGAAAGATTTATTTAGCACATTGGTTACGGATGGTCAACAGATAAGATAACAAATGCTGCATTCATTTTAGTCAATTTGAAGGTGTTATTGTATCTCGCGATACGATGCAACAATATTGGGACACGGTGGTTTCATTCATTGGGAAATGACCGATTTCCCCTCATTTCAACATATATGAATAAAGTACGAAATGACTGTTTATTACAACTAGTCTAAAGAGTGAAATTATGGAAACTAACATACAAGAAATGTCTGACGACTAATAATGCTAACAACTACGACAACTCTACCCACAATGTTATTTTAAGTCGCCGGGTACGAAATATTTAGTGCAATAGCTTTGCGGTTTACCGTAATAAAGTCTGTTACTGTGATTGCAATCCCTTCAACTGTTAGGTTTGATTTGAATATATATGAAGCGATTAATGTTGTCAAACTGTTGTGGTGGGCTAATTCTGGATACGACACGTTTTTGGACGCCTGAACTTAATGTGGCTGCTTTCGCCATGGAGTCGCATTAAGGGTGGCTTTTGTTCGTTTTCTATTCAGAGTGATCTTTGGTGGCATGGTTCGTATTCGCTGCAGCCGGCTTGATATTAGCTGTAGCTCCCCATTTCGCTGTAGTTAATTTTTTTTATTCTCGTTAGCGTTATTTCGTTTGTCGTTCAGTAATTGCGAAATAAACCTACCGACGATAAAAAACGAGAAACCAAAAGAACTACAACTAGATTCGTGGCCGCCCTACTGGGGCACCATTGGTAACTATATCTAGCTTCATGACCGCCCTGTCGAGGCATCATTGGTAACTATAGCTAGCTTCGTAGCTGCCTTGACGGGGCATCATTGGTAACTACAGCTAGCTTCGTAGCTGCCTTGACGGGGAATCATTGGTAACTACAGCTAGCTTCGTAGCCGTCTTGGCGAGGTATCATTGGTAACTACAGCTAGCTTCGTAGCTGCCTTGACGGGGCATCATTGGTAACTACAGCTAGCTTCGTAGCTGCCTTGACGGGGAATTATTGGTAACTACAGCTAGCTTCGTAGCCGTCTTGGCGGAACATCATTGATAACTACAGCTAGCTTCGTAGCCGTCTTGGCGGGGCATCATTGGTAACTACAGCTAGATTCGTAGCCGTCTTGGCGGGGCATCATTGATAACTACAGCCAGCTTCGTAGCCGCCTTGACGGGGAATTATTGGTAACTACAGCTAGCTTCGTAGCTGCCTTGACGGGGCACCATTGGTAACTATATCTAGCTTCATGACCGCCCTGTCGAGGCATCATTGGTAACTATAGCTAGCTTCGTAGCTGCCTTGACGGGGCATCATTGGTAACTACAGCTAGCTTCGTAGCTGCCTTGACGGGGAATCATTGGTAACTACAGCTAGCTTCGTAGCCGTCTTGGCGAGGTATCATTGGTAACTACAGCTAGCTTCGTAGCTGCCTTGACGGGGCATCATTGGTAACTACAGCTAGCTTCGTAGCTGCCTTGACGGGGAATTATTGGTAACTACAGCTAGCTTCGTAGCCGTCTTGGCGGAACATCATTGATAACTACAGCTAGCTTCGTAGCCGTCTTGGCGGGGCATCATTGGTAACTACAGCTAGATTCGTAGCCGTCTTGGCGGGGCATCATTGATAACTACAGCCAGCTTCGTAGCCGCCTTGACGGGGAATTATTGGTAACTACAGCTAGCTTCGTAGCTGCCTTGACGGGGTGTCATTGGTAACTACAGCTAGCTTCGTAGCCGTCTTGGCGGGGCATCATTGGTAACTACAGCTAGCTTCGTAGCTGCCTTGACGGGGTGTCATTGGTAACTACAGCTAGCTTCGTAGCCGTCTTGGCGGGGCATCATTGATAACTACAGCTAGCTTCGTAGCCGCCTTGGCGGGGCATCATTGATAACTACAGCTAGCTTCGTAGCCGCCTTGGCGGGGCATCATTGGTAACTACAGCTAGCTTCGTAGCTGCCTTGACGGGGTGTCATTGGTAACTACAGCTAGCTTCGTAGCCGTCTTGGCGGGGAATCATTGATAACTACAGCTAGCTTCGTAGCCGCCTTGGCGGGGCATCATTTGTAACTACAGCTAGCTTCGTAGCCGCCTTGGCGGGCATCATTGATAACTACAGCTAGCTTCGTAGCCGTCTTGACGGGGAATCATTGATAACTACAGCTTGGTTCGTAGCCGTCTTGGCAGGGCATCATTGATAACTACAGCTAGCTTCGTAGCCGTCTTGGCGGGGTATACTTGGTAACTACAGCTAGCTTCGTAGCCGTCTTGGCGGGGCATCATTGATAACTACAGCTAGCTTCGTAGCCGTCTTGGCGGGGCATCATTGATAACTACAGCTAGTTTCGTAGCTGCCTTGGCGGGGCATCATTGATAACTACAGCTAGCTTCCTAGCTGCCTTGGCGGGGCATCATTGATAACTACAGCTAGCTTCGTAGCTGCCTTGACGGCGAATCATTGATAACTACATGTAGCTTCGTAGCTGCCTTGACGAAGAATCATTGATAACTACAGCTAGCTTCGTAGCCGTCTTGGCGGGGTATCATTGGTAACTACAGCTAGTTTCGTAGCTGCCTTGGCGGGGCATCATTGATAACTACAGCTAGCTTATTAGCTGCCTTGACGGGGAATTATTGGTAAAAAGATTGTGCCCTGCATGACAGTATGTGCCTGACATGAACTTTCTGTCCAGTCTAAGTAGCCTAGGATTTAATGATTACATGTCACAATGCTTAGTAACTGCACACAACGGACAGCCATTATGGTTGCACTGGGTAACTGTGATATCGAGCCTCTATATGATACATGCCATCACAAAACAGATATGGGATGCGTGGTTTACGTGGCAAAATGCACTATACAGTGCAATAAAAATGTGGGAGAGCGAAAAATGATATTATAATGCTTGGAAATGTCGTCTGATACAACATGGTATGATTCCATATCAGAAGAATTAAGGTATACACTCTAGTCTTACAACATACTACAAATGAAATAGGCCGGTGATTAATTTATTTGCTATTTATATATAATTGACGAGATGTTGCAAAAATTGTGTTTCTTTTTGAAGGGGGTGGAAAATTTCTCCTTTTGTCAAAATATGTAGAATGTAATGCTTTTGTGAAACCGTATCAATTATAGGCAAACATACGAAAGAGGCTTTGTATCAATGAACCAAAAACAACTTGAAATAAACGTAAAATCAGGCTTTACCGGTAAACCTAAAACAATTTATGAATATTGGGACTAACCCTCAAATTACAATTATCGTGACTACTAAAATATATTCGCACTGCAATCATTGCTATTTAGTATATGTATAATTATCCTTCAATTCAACGTGTCTAACTTAAGATTACCCAGTCAAGAATAACAATCGTCAGCTACTTTATACATTTTTTGGAAGCTCGGCTATTTATGATATTCGGATATAACCGTAATGGTGACGAGGCATAAGACAAACACTCTTCACTAAGGATGACATTTTATCCAGAAACCGTCCAGTGGCACCCGAATAGAAACAATTCCCTAACGACAAAAGAAGGCTGTAGACGTGGTTGCAATTAACAAATGATTTACAAAGCGATAATTAAGATGTTTTCACACCTAAAAGCCGTCTGTTTGGTAGTTATTTCAAAGACACTCATGACGAACCAATTATAAGCAATGGTAATACCTTGCGAAATCATGGCGCCATATAAATAGGCCTACGTCTGAGATGTGATTCTATTCCAGACAACGCAGAGCAATAGTGCCTTTCCTATCGAGTACCTCACGGCTTTGTCCACAATTGGCCGTCTCGCCTTGAAGTCTGACAACGTGACAAAATAGTGGCTGCCAGTTTTACCTCTTGTTTTCATATTTAAGCACTGTCTAAGTTTTGTCAACATATAACATATATACTGGCTGGACCACAGTTATCAGCTGTTCTGCCACAGACAATATGTTGCTATATTGTGCATTAGCGATTAGGGACACGGAATAGTTAATATCCATAATGATTCAATAATTTGGAGAGGGGAAGTTTAGTAGCATATAGCCTATTCGTAAAACGATGTGTCTTGACCACTACAATAACCACCTGCGTTATTTTTTCATGTATCTGAAAAACACTGCATAGATTCTATGGGAGGGGGTCACATTTGCGTTTTAACTGGAGAATTGTTAGACTGTCAAATCCGCACGATTTAAACACGTGCATCCCATTCCATTTTATTCCGTCTTGGTATCTATTGCGAGAAGAATATTAGTTGTTCCGTCATGTTTTGTTCAATAATTTTTCCAGGTTGGTATAAATGTCGAGAAAGCTGATATCATGTGATCTAATTATTATAACTTAGTAGCAGTACAAAGGAAGGTTGTATACAGATTTCAGATAATTATCCAAAT